ATTTTATAGAACAAATATTTTTGAATTATTATTTTTTTTATTTTTTTTAACATGCATCTAAAATGTTTCAATGCACTAAAAAAATCCCTTAATTTTATCCTTTTGCACCATTTATGACTCTTAGCACTTTGTTCGGATTTTAAAAAAGCTTTTTTCCATTGCTATAAGACGAATTCTTGAATAAAAAAGATTTTATTTTATTGACACAACATAAAACATAGCATGATTTTTTTAATTTAATTGACGCAATATAAACGCCACTAACGCCACTCGTCAGGGGCGTGCCCTTGCAACAGATCTCACCGCCTGCACTCTATGTCATGCTAGTCAATATTGCAATATAATAGGACTACACTACAAAAGCCAAAAAACCCAATCCCTATCCCAGTTTTTGAAAACAGCTCCAACATTCTTAGAGATCTTGTGAGGGTGGTGAGGAATGCGCGTGGTGTGACCATAAACAGATATGTAAACACATATAAAAATAAGGTACCCTTACATTAGAAGAAACAAACTTGTACACATGTACTTATGCGCGTGTGTAAATAAACAATTATAATGTGTAGAAATAACAAAATGCGAATAGAAAATAGTAATTAATTATTAATAGTAACTTACCGTTTCTTTTATGGCTGAAAAATGTATTATAAATATAATAAATACCACTCATAAGCATTGATACTAAGTTAAGATGTTTTGTGGTTAGTCCTAAAGTAGTTAAACGAAAGTATGATAAAAAATATATAACTCTAAATAGTATGTTCTCATATGAATCTTGCCTTGTAAGTAGAGACAATAGCTATCACGCAAAACAGACTCAGAGTAATTAAATAATGATTAACCAGAGATAAAAAATATACGAACATCAAATCAGTAGGCAGAAAATAATGAGGAAATAAAAAGTTAAGACAATATATGCAATTTTAAACTAATAGCTTATAACCACTAAAAAATGTAACGTTAAAAAACAATATTGTTAACAAAACGACCAAAGGAACGTTAGTGAAGACTGTATAGTGCAAACCACAACAAACTAACTTAGCGACGTCAAATCGAGAAAATTAGACAGAAACAAAAAAACCTAACAAAATCGCGATTAGTCTAAACTTATCTAATGAATTTGTTTAGTATATTCCAACCAAGAATACGTTTGTTATAAAAAATGCGCTAGTACGTAGGGGAGAACCTTAATGAATGGGACAATTATTGAATGGGACAAAATCAAATTTGCATAGAAGCATCTACGGTTGGCTATCCAAACTCCTGTGGTAATAAGTGTTTGACACAACCATTCAACAGACCAAATCTTTATTTCTATTATGGTCTAAACGTAATGGCATTGGATGTTATTGTGTTTTGAAAAACAATAAGTAATTTTTAAAAACAATTTTCTGTGTCTGATTTTGCAGTGATTACTAAAGTTAAGGAAAATGAAACTCCAATTTTCAACACCCAAATGTCTCTACTTTTTAAATTTGTAAAGTATTTTTGTTTAGGTATTACTGTTTTTAACCTGTCCTGTCATTTGTGGATGTAGTGGGAAGCCTATTGAATGGGACAAAGTATTGATTATTGAATGGGACTTGTCCAAACAGCCTGATATGAAAAAAGTAGAAAAATATATTTCGGCAACTTAGTTATGGTCACACATAACTTTATTTTTAATAAAATTTTTTGTTTTACTAAAAACAATTATTCGTGTTTTTAATTTAATTTTAATATACATATATTTTTTAATAAAACTATTTTAGGTTTGTCAATATATGCAGACATTCGGCCATATTTATAGCTTTTTCGGGTTCCCTAATGGTAGAAACTACCCTTACTGCTTGACTGGCTTGAAAGTTACTTAGGACCTCTCTTCTTTTATTAATTTTTTAGATTTGTCCCATTCAATAATTTTATTTGTCCCATTCAATGAGTAGTTCTTAATGAATGGGACAAATGCCATGGTCTTATTAAACTCTCTTTTTACCAATACCCATATGCGGAATCAATTTTTTTGTTTTTGTTTATCATAGTACGAGAGTTAACAGTTATCAAACTATTTTCAAAGTGATTTTTAAACAAATTTATCAACCTCAAAAAATGCATTTTACGAAAACTGTCCCATTCATTAAGGTTCTCTCCTACTTTTGTGTAAAATTTTCGCGCTGTTATACTTCTCATAAATATACGGCCTAATTCACACATATTACAAATCTGAATAAATATACAATGATAAGGTGAAAAAAGATTATGAACAAAAGTATATAATAAAGAACAAATATTTGATATACTGGTTTTAGAGACTGTTGATGTCTACAGGTGTGATGGTGTAGTGCATTAGTATGTACCGTTTGGTCGTCTAGTATGGTCTCGTTATGTCTTTGTTCACTTTCAAATTGGGTGAATAGAAAGCTAAACACACTCACTCCTTGCGCTTATGGGCTAGCACATCAGGGCCAGACGTGAGACCTACAGAATGGATTTCAATTGATCGAATGCACACATTAGTCACCGTAGGCCACAAGCCATCACTCTTAGCCAAAAGAGCTACTGCCCCATGCTGGTGTGGAATGATGTGCTATGGAGTGAGATTTTAGATCCGAGCACATAGTCAACGAGCGCTGATCCGACGTGCATTGTGGAGCTTCCGACTGAGTGTGTGCGTGAGTCCCAGCGTAGTCATTAGGTTATTGATCGCCGTAACCACATCCAGCGGGATAGCCTAATGTCCGTTTTGTCGTTGTGGCGTACATTGGAAAAAGTCGGGGCTCACCAGCCACAAAGAATAAATTTTTTGCAAAAAGTGATGATCGCAAAATGATCGCAAAAAGTGACCAACGGAGCCGTCCAGTTGCGTAGACCTGGGAGATGTGAAAATAAAAACAGATTGAAGATGATGTCATTTAGGTAAAAAAACATAAATTAATGCAAAGACTATTTAGTTGGAAGAGTAAAAGTTAGCAACTCAGGAAAAGGGGAATAAAAACTCACACTCTAGTCATCTTTTAACAAATGATAAAACAATGATCTATGAGTAAACAAGTCAATAAAAATCCGCTGGTTTATAATGGTATTCATAACTAAAATAATCGCACCATACAAGTGTCTAATAAATGTGGTACTATATATGTTCTAAATTCTAGATAAAAAATTGATAACTGATAATCACCTGTGTAACATAAAAAATATATAAATGTCGTTAATATAACAAATTCATAATAAAAAGCTCACAAAGCGCAAAAATACATGGGTTTAAGAGGTAAAAAAATGTTGGTGCCATAATAACCAATTAGAATTAAGTAGTGGATAAATGGTGATCCCCCTCCTCAGGAATGCACTGCGATCACCAATGACGTTTCGGAGAGCCCGAAATCTGCACTAACGCTACTCGTCAGGGGCGTGTCCTTGCAACAGATCTCACTGCCTGCACTCTACGTCATGCTAGTCAATATTGCAATATAATAGGACTACACTACAAAAGCCAAAAAACCCAATCCCTATCCTAGTTTTTGAAAACAGCTCCAACATTCTTAGAGATCTCGTGAGGGTGGTGAGGAATGCGCGTGGTGTGACCATAAACAGATATGTAAACACATATAAAAATAAGGTACCCTTACATTAGAAGAAACAAACTTGTACACATGTACGTATGCGCGTGTGTAAATAAACAACTATAATGTGTAGAAATAACAAAAAGCAAATAGAAAATAGTAATTAATTATTAATAGTAACTTACCGTTTCTTTTATGGCTGAAAAATGTATTATAAATATAATAAGTAAATACCACTCATAAGCATTGATACTAAGTTAAGATGTTTTGTGGTTATTATTTTTATTTTTTTTAACATGCATCTAAAATGTTTCAATGCACTAAAAAAATCCCTTAATTTTATCCTTTTGCACCATTTATGACTCTTAGCACTTTGTTCGGATTTTAAAAAAACTTTTTTCCATTGCTATAAGACGAATTCTTGAATAAAAAAGATTTTATTTTATTGACACAACATAAAACATAGCATGATTTTTTTAATTTAATTGACGCAATATAAAACCTGGCATAGTTTTTTTAATTTGATTGACATAGCAATAAACCTGTCGGTGTCTTTGACACTGAATATTGCTAATATTGCTTTTTATGGTAGATGTTTTACCTGATGAATAAAATGGTATATTATACACAAAGCTAAAGTTCTGATGACACCAAATTTTATTTTTTACAACTTTTGTCCGGGTTGGTCTTAATTAATTATAAATATTTGAGTTTTACTCAGTTTTTTTTTCATTATTCCGGAATCTGATTTAAGTTAATTAAAAAGTAACCTGATCAAATTTGAAATAACCTGGATTAAATGTCAAACATTAAAGAAAAACAAAAACTGTTATGCTGTGTAATTGTTATTAATTTTAATAAACTTTTGGTGTTAAATTAATTTTAATAAACTTTAGGTGTTCAATTAATTTTAATAAACTTTTGGTGTTCAATTAATTTTAATAAACTTTAGGTGTTCAATTAATTTTAATAAACTTTTGGTGTTAAATTAATTTTAATAAACTTTAGGTGTTCAATTAATTTTAATAAACTTTTGGTGTTCAATTAATTTTAATAAACTTTAGGTGTTCAATTAATTTTAATAAACTTTAGGTGTTCAATTAATTTTAATAAACTTTAGGTGTTATTATGTTTGAAATTTTTGAAATCACACCATTATGCTTTTGCAGTTTTGTTATATAAGATTATTTTTTTTTAGTAATCTCTTGATTTAAAATTCAAGTTTTATGTAAATTTGTTCTATTAAGTTCTTAAAATTGTCAAAAGTTGTTATTGAAGAGTTTTACTTATTTTTAGAGTTCGTTACCCGCCCTACAAAGAAGACAACGCGGTAATGAAATGGACTGAGTGGATTTTGAAACCAACACTTAAGTGAACATATTTACACTTTATTCAGAGTGCAAAGTTGTATCTATGACAATTTCATAACGCTTCAAATTTGAAATCGGAATTGAAATTCAAAAGCCATTTTTTTTTTATTTTTACAAAGAAGACGCATTCCGCATTTTTATGATCAAAGTTTCTTTGATAATGTTTTTGTTTAATGACATTTTTATGATGTTTTTACGTTAATTTTATGTTTAATTTAATGTTTTTAATAACACAGGCCAACATTTTGATATATGCAACTCATTTTTCGCCATCACTTCAAGTTGTAAAGATATTTGGGTTTAAATCTTTAGCACTTGGGGTAAAATCCCTAATATTGTGAACAAAAAAATTATTCAAAAGTGTGTCAACCTGCGTCTCAAAAAAGCGTATTTTCATAAAGATTTTAAAAATAATATTTGTTTGTAATAAAAATAAATTTTTATATTATTGTTGAGAAACATTTTGTTAAAATTGTTTTAAAAGTCTTAAGCATTTTATTTTTTTGTCAATAAATTTTAAGTAAAATTATTCATATTTTCTAAATTGTTTTTAAAAACGCATGATTTTGTAGGCAGATCTTATTGCTGATTTCCACAATACAAAAGTGCATTATTTAAATTTTCTAGAAACCACTTATTACGACAAGCTTCTTTACTATCGTAAAAATTATTTAAGCTATTATTATTTAAACTTTTATCCACTTGTTTTATAATAAATAGTTTAAAGTAGGGTTGTTCACTTTTGCAAAAGTTGAGTTTTCGATTAAAAAAATTTTTTCGAAACTCTATTTTTGTTTTGGTAAGTTTGAAACTTTATTTTTGTTTTGGTAAGTTTGAAATGTTTTCTTTAATTACTTAATTTTGAACCGAAATGAATTTCGCTTTACGAAATTCACGATATTCTATCGATACATTTTTTAAATTTCGAAATCCTAAAAATAGCTTCGAAATTATTTTTCTTTTTTGAAACTTTGAAAATTGTATCGAAATATATTTACATTATTGAAAATTTACCGAATCAATTTTTCACTTTCGAAAATAATTTGTATCGAAATATTTTAATATTATCGAAATTCTAAAAACGGCACCGAAACATTTTATCACCTATAATTTGTATCGAAAAATTTTTATGCGATCGAAATTTTAAAAACGGTACCGAAGCAATATTTCACTTTCGAATCTCTATAATTTGCACCGAAATATTTTAATATCGAAATCATAAAAAATGTGCCGGATGCATGTTAATAGTGAAATTACATAATAAATATGGAAGTATTGTGTTAACTGTGAAATTGTATAATAAATATGGAATTATTTTCTAATTGTTGTGCTAAGAGTAGACGATTTTTTGTCTGGCTTTTTTCTGTAACGTGATTTTTTCGCTAATTCATTTTTTTTATCTAACGGAACAAATATGTTGTTGCGGCCTTTCTTTAATCTTAAACACAAACACATTAAAATATTGCATAGTTTTTGCTAGTTTTCTTTATAGTTTGTTGTTCTTAAAATTTTTAGCTTAGAATTAATTCAAATTTTTACATTTGCAAAATGATAATAATTAAGATATTTATAAAGTATGAAATTAATTTAACCCTGTCTTTCTCAATGATGCCATTTGGCAACACAAAATTCAAAAATCGAACCTGTTTTTAATTTTCAGTAATGCTTAAGTTTTGCTACTCCCTACTAAATGGCATTATGTGCAATTTAAAATGAGCGCGCCGATTTGCAATTGTTTTTCAAAAATATTAAATGTCATTGTAATTTATTTATTTTTAATTTCATAAATTGGGAAAGAAAGGGTTAACTTTTTTCTTTGTTTATACATTTCTATAATTTTTTTTTGAAACTATTATAGTATCCCTTTTATTGAACTTGTTTAAATTTTTTTTTCTACCATATTTTTTAAACTAACTTTTTTTGGCTAATGTTTTGGCATAGTGATACAGCTAGAGCGTGAAAGTTAACATAAACTCTGTTTAAGCTTTCATAACGTGCTTTAACGTGTTTTTATTGTGTGGTTAAAAGTTGTCAAGACAGCACGCGACCAAAGATACATATATATAAAAATATTACTTTTATTGCCTATTTTTAAATTTTATTCAGTGGAAACGTCACGATCACGACTACATGGCTACACCTATTGTTTTATGTGTGTGTGTGTATATATATATATATATATATATATATATATATATATATATATATATATATATATATATATATATATATATATATATATATATATATATATATATATATATAATTATATTTAGATGAATAAAAGCAACTGATTAGCGGGACTTAAAGTTTCATGCCCGAAGGCAATCATCAGCCGTTAATACAAACAAAAAACGTAAACAAACCGTTACAAAAACGTAAAAATTACTGTAGAATGACATCTGACGTTATAAACAAGGTAGGCTCTCTTGTCAAACCCTTATTCCGACGCTGTCCTTAAGGTTCGAAAATGTGAAAAAACGACTTCTTCATTTAAAAGAGAACCTACCCACCCCAAACCCTCAGTCGTTTTTTACACACTCCGCTGCATGTTCTCTCTAAAAATTAGTTGGTATATGTGCGCACCGCTGCGCAAATCCCTATATACCCCGTTTTGCCCTTTTCCTAGAAACACGAGTTTGCGGACGCAAAGGACGCTCAACGTCGGAATAGGGGTTTGACAAGAGTGCGTTCCTATAAACAAATCTACGTAAAAAACAAATCAAAAAAACAAAAAGCCGTTATAGTTTATTAGTCCCCTGTGTCAAATAAAGATAAGAGAATGTCGACACTGAGATTTTTTTTTTTATTCAGTAGGTTTTTTCCATTATGTGATAAAATTACATATTTTTCGTAGAGACAAAGGTGGCATATTTTTGTTGCTAGATTGTAAGGTTTACAACGTTTGACAATTTTCCATTTTATAATGGGCTTTATGTTTTGGTCTTTTAAGTTCCATACCTCCTTAGATAGTTCTGTGTCATTTCTATATTTAACTGATGCAAATGATTTGAGATGGTTTGCGTATCTTAGTTTAAATGGTGTATTACTAATGCCAAAATATACTTTTTTATTACAATCATGATGACTGGAACTTACGGTTGCTTGATAGACAATATTGTTAGATAAACATTGATTGTTCAAAGGGCAAAATGCCTTATGTACGCAGTTACATTGGTTGGTTTTTAATTGATTTTTGTTGTGTAAAATTTTGAAATTATGCGAATTTATGATAGATTTTAAGTTAGGCATGCAACTGTAGCTAATCTTAATGGAATTTCGGTTGAATATTTTATGTAGCTTGTGGCCGGCTGGAAAATGTAAGTCAATAAGGGCTAGAAAACGGTTTCCTATTTTTGTTTTGACGTTTAAACTGAACGGAGGGTTATACCAAATAATATTGCGTTTACGTTGCTTTTTTTGTTGATTTTGACTTGAGATTATTTGTGGTTGGTAGGTAAGGTTTAATTTGTATCCCGATTTTTTTAAAGCCTCTTCATACGGTGGAATAGTCTTTTTGAAGAATATTTCATTACTTGACACGGAAGATAATCTTTGTTCAATATTGCGAGGGATTGCTTTTATTATGCTTGGAGGGTGGTTAGAATTAGAGTGGATGTACCTTATTTGATTATCAGGTTTAGAATATGGTTGAAACGTATCGTTACTTAGATTTAACGTAACATCGAGGTAGTTAACAATTTTTAAATTAGATTGAATGGTGATTTGAAGATCGTTTTTTTTTTTTAATGAGTGTTTATGCTTTTTGATTTTTTCCATTTGCTGACCGTTTTTTTTCTTGAATACAGCAAGACCGTCGTCACGATATAGGCCGAAATCTTCTTTATTATAATATTGTGAAATTTGATACAGTATGAAAATACCTATTAATTCGTAAACTTCAGCACCATCAAATGCCCCCATTGTTACATCAAACAACCCACCTCTTTTTTTAATCCATGCTTCATCGTTGTTGAAGATAAGAGATTTTCTTGCATGCTTTATTATTATTAACAATATGATGGTCTGCAAAATTCATAGCATTGTTGAGGGTGCTTTCCTTTATAGAAGGGTAGAAATCGTTAACATCAAAAACTAGGAACTTGTATAAGTGCTTATTGGTGATTTTTTTAAACCAGTCTAAAACATTTTGCGTACTTTTCCATTGATTCAAAAAAAGTTTATTTTTAAGTTCACAATTAACTTTTGCCAAAATTACCTTAGAAACTTGTCCTACCTCATTTTTTGAAGGGTTCAAAAGGCGCACAGATGGATTGTTAGCGAAGTTTTCCTTGTGATCTTTCAAAGTGAAAAAACAGTTAGAGGATCCGTTTATTTCTATTTTTTTATATACCTCGTGGTTGGTTAAAATTTGTTTTCCTTCTTTGTTTATATGGTCTTTTAATTTTGGATTTGCTTTTTTGTAGGTAGTGGTAATAGCATTTGTTAACAGATTATTGTAATCTTCTTTAGACAGTTCATACATATTTGATGTTTTGTTAGCATGTGTTAGGGTTTTGTGAGATTTACGTATAGTTTTGATATCTTTTTTCATACCGTTTTGAAAAGTGTTGCGTATGTCTTGAAACTTTATTGATTTTATAAGATTGATTAAGTCTTTTTCGAAGAATGATATTTCTTTTATTTGCGGTGGACATATAGGAGATCTTATTCCGTAGTTTGTATAATTGATATTGCCTTTAATTCTTGGATCGTTATTAATAAAAAAGAATGCTTTGCATCTCATTTTCTTTAAGAGTAATTCCGTTTTGTTTATTAATTTTAATTTAAAGTCTCTTTCTGACTGTATTGAAATGTTTTTTATTGAATAATCAAAGTTTATTTTATCCATCGCGTTGACGACTTTGAGTAAAGTGCTCAACTTTACGGAGCAAATATTTGTATAGATTTCGATATATAACGAATAAAAACACGAATAAAACGAATAAAACATAGAAAATAAAACAAAAACAAGAAAACTGGAATAAAACAAGTTAGATATATATGGAAAGTTAAGTATATATTGAAAACAATGTAGGGAGTTTTTGGCAATAAAAAACTTATTTTTAATGCGGGCGCAGTAAAAATGAGTTTTTGAAGCAAAATAAATTTTCTGCAGAAATGAAATGTAGAAACTTACCTTTAATATTGCAAATAAAATTGAGAAGTTTTCTTACTATTTATTATGTAAAACAACGCACAAATAGACTAATATCGTAATAACGACATAAGATGTATAAAGCGGAGTTAA